TGACAGAGAGAGAGTACTCACCCTCACGGAGCTTTCTGACCACCTCGTGTTGGGAAGCGGACAGTGAATCCACAAGGAAGTAATCCTGTAGTATGTCAGAAGGTGGTAAGTCCTCTAAGAGAAAGACAAAACCCAGGGAATCCCTGGGTGTCCAGGCAGGAGACAAAATCTCCCTGGATGGTTCAAGAGACTTTAATGGGAGGGTCATTTGCAGGGCTGTGAAAGGGTTAAGGATACGTACACCAGGGCCACTAAGGCACCCAGAGACCAGCAACAGTGAAAAGCTGTTAGCACCCCTTCAGACAAGGGATAGAAAAAGAGTTACTGCAGACCAATGAGAGGAGGTAGAACTTGGGGTCAGGGTCGGGGTGGGGGGGTTGCATCTAGCATATTCTATAGCCATGGAAAGTAGCTGCTACTGTCTGTGAAAACGGGCCAAAGCAGGAAGAAATACCTTGATGGCCGTCTTTCCAGTCTCTGACACCATGGTGTGTTTGAACAAGCATGGGGCTGGCTGGGAAGAGAAGCAGACCAACAGAAACAGCAAGGGTATCTTGCCCACCTGATTAACAACAGCCCCTGTACAATGATTAGTCTCTTGAGGACATGCTCACAGGACCAAATACCTTCATACTCATTCATACTCAAGTGTCATTACAAGGCGAATGTCCACACATCTCTTCCCCAAATTTCCTTGTCACCAATTCTTTTTCCATAGTCTCCAACCTGTTGGCCAACACAACTACCAATATGACAGTGTAGATCTGTAACTCAGGCCATCTTTCCACCCAAAGGAAGTGGACAATAGGTATGGCTCGAGTTCTGTGCACAGCAGGTCTTCCTTCTCTACCGTGTGTCAGAGCCACTCTTGAACGGGATCATCTGCCTCTAGCTGATGCCAATGTATCAGACAGGCTCATCTGTAAACCATCCCTACCTACCATTTTCCTTCAACGGAAAGCAAAGGCCATCAATGAGCACAGGTGGGTATCACGGAGTTTTAATGCAACGTACTAGTGCCTTCTCTACCTGCTTGGGCCAAAGGTCAGTTCTCTCTAACTGAGGTGATCCCTGAAGGCTCTGAGAGCTGGCTGTCCGCTGACTGCACTACCAACAGCTGGGGCAACAAATCCATCAGTGAAGAGGAACCTGAGTGACACATCACAGCATCTATCACAGGAGAGGGGAAGAGGCAAACTGAGAATAAGTCCCTCTGATTTCATGGGTGATCAGAGAGTGTTGGTAAAAAGACGATGAGGAACTGATGGATGCCTGAGGAAGTGATGGGGATCTGTGCCGGACAGATGTTCTAGGCAAAGGGACCAGCAAAGTGCAAAAGCCCTGAGGCAGAATGTGCTTGGAATATTAAGAAGGCTCCATACTCAGCTCCAAACCCAATGTGGGGCTCGATCCCACAACTCTGGGATCATGACCCTGGGCTGAAATCAAGAGTCAGACACTCAACTGACTGAGCCACCCAGACACCCCAGTTTTTTACTGAAGCATAATTAACATGTAATCTTATAGTAATTTCAGGTGTGCAACATATTGATTTGAAAATTCTATACATTTTCAATGCTCACCTTGATAAGTGTGGTCATCATCTGTCCTGTATGATGTTATTACAATATTATTGACTTTATTCTCTATTCTGTGCTTTTCATCTTTATGATTTATTTATTTTATAACCAGAAATTTGTACCTCTTAGTCTCTTTTCTCTATTTCACCCATCCCCCAACCACACCCCTCTGGAAACCACCAGTTTGTTCTCTGTACTTAAGCATCTAGTTTTTGTTTGTTTATTTTGGGTTTTCATGCAGTATTTGTTTTTCTCTGACTTAGTTTACTTAGCTTAATACCCTCAAGATATGTCCATGTTGTCACAAACGGCAAGATGTCATTTTTAATGGCTGAATAATACTCCATTGCATACATATATCTTCTTTATCCATTTATGTATTGATGGACACTTGGAATGCTTCTGTAGCGTGGCTGTTGTAAATGCTTCAGTAAGTATAGGGCTGTATATATCTTTTCAAGATAGGGTTTTTGTTTTCTTTGGGTAAATACCCAGTAGTGAAATTACTGGATCATATGGTATTTCTATTTTTAGTTTTTATTTTTTTATTATTTTTTAACTTTTGTTTATTTTTAAGAGACAGAAACAGAGCACAAGTGGGGGAGGGGCAGAGAGAGAGGGGGAGACCCAGGCTCTGAGTCCTCCACACCGAGCTCGACGTGGGGGTTTGAACTGTGAGATCATGACCTGAGCTGAAGTCAGTGCTTAACCAACTGACCCATCCAGGTGCCCTGGTATTTCTATTTTTAATGTTTTGAGGCCCTACATAATGTTTTCCAGAGTGGCTGTACCAAGTTACATTCCCATCAACAGAGCACAAGGGTTCCTTTTCCATTGTGGTTTTGATTTGCATTTCCCTGATGATGAGTGATGCTGAGCATCTTTTCATGTGTCTGTTGGAGGGCCTACATATCTTGTAGGACATGGTTCAATGTTTGGCTTTTGCTCTAAATGAGATGGTAATCCTTGGAGTGTCCAGAGGAGAGAAAAGATGTGATTTGACTTTCACGTACACCTGTTGTACTGGGACTAGGTTGCGTGGGGACAAGGATGGAAGTGGAGAGGCAGCTGGAGACTTTTGTGATAGTAACCCAGGGAAGCAGTAATGGTGGCCTTGGCTTGGCTTCATTGGGTAGAAGTCAAGGTGTGAGAAGTGCCTGGATTGAGACAGATTTGAAGGTAGAGCAGACAGGATTTGCTCATGGGTTGGACGGAGGGGAATAAAGGAAAGAGAAGAGTCAAGATTATTCCCAGATTTTGACATTTTGACTTGAATGACTAATAGGATAGAGTTACTCTTCACTTTCCTTCCTTCCTTCCTTCCTTCCTTCCTTCCTTCCTTCCTTCCTTCCT